AGATGGGGCCTGATTATTTAAGACCTTGTATGTGAGGAGCAGGATTTTGAATTCTGGATTTAACAGGAAGCCAAAACAGGAGAAATCTGCTCTCTCTTTCTAGTCCCTGTCAGGACTCTTGCTGCAGCATTTTGGATTAGCTGAAGGCTTTTCAGCGAGTTTTTTGGACATCCTGATAATAATGAATTACAGTCGTCCAGCCTGGAAGTAATAAATGCATGAACTAGTTTTTCAGCGTCACTCTGAGACAGGATATTTCTAATTTTAGAGATGTTGCGCAAATGGAAGAACGCAGTCTTACATATTTGTTTAATATGTGCGTTGAAGGACATGTCCTGGTCAAAAATGACTCCAAGGTTCCTCACAGTGTTACTGGAGGCCAAGGTAATGCCATCCAGAGTAAGAATCTGGTTAGATACCATATTTCTAAGCTTTTCAGGGCCGAGTACAATAACCTCAGTTTTATCTGAATTAAGAAGCAGAAAGTTAGCGGCCATCCAGGTCTTTATGTCTTTAAGACATTCCTGCAGTTGATAAAGTTTGGTATTATCCTCATAGCAGTAAAAATGTATGGCAAGCCTTTAAATGACACTGGCCTGATACTGATATTTGCCCTAGTGCAGAACCTTGTGGAACTTTATAATTAACTTAAGTGTGTAAAGAAGACTCCCTATTTACATGGAGAAATTGGAGTCTGTTATTTAGATATGATTAAAGAAACCACAGCAGTGCATTCTCTAATCGCTGTAACTGCACTGAGGTCTACTGGACAGATCATTTGTAACCTTCACTAAAGCTGTTTACTGTGATGAGCTCTGAAACCTGACTGAAACTCTTCAAATATAGTTCACATAAACTGTGTTTGAATGTGTTAACACTAACCCTTTCCAAACTGTTGAGTTGGTATCTTGATGCATGCTCTATCATCCAGGTAAGTAAACCCCAAAAGGTTGATTCTGTTTATCTGGACGTTTTCAGTGGGAGAACCTTTTTGTCACTCATCCAGGTAGGGCTGCTCGATTATGGCAAAAATGATGATCACGATTATTTTCACTGAATCTCGATTATTTGATGATATTTATTTAACAAAAACAACGTGTTGAATAATGACTTTAAAGATTGTCACAAAATAATATAAAATAGTGTGCAAATACTGATAACAGTGCAAATGTTTGCAGTATAACAAATCAATGAAGAATGTAAACATCTGTGTTTAGTGAGCTTTGCAGTGTTGCTCTGTGGTGCAGCTACACTGTAGCAAAGTTCACACACTGTGTCTACTTGATCCACGTCTGACTGAACCCACAATGTTTCCACACCACTGAAGTTTTTTTGTTTTTTTT